TGATGAGTTGTCCGAGCCCCCAGTAAAATGACTAAATAATAATAATAATAATAAAAAGCTTTACCATCTTGGAAACCTGCCACAGGGGCAGTTCTCCTGTGTCTTACAGGGAGGGCCACTGTGGATTGGAATTTCTTTGAAGGCAGTGACTGGTTTGCATGCACATGACTGTTTTTACAAAGTGTTATTTCAAATCTTGCCTAATTGAGAATTGACCAAAATAAAACTGAGCGGTAAAAAGGAAAAATACAAAGCAAACACAAAACCACGGCAAGATGCGATCTCGTTCCCACGAGGATGGCTAAGTTAAAAACAGAATCAATGTGGATGAGGAGGCGGCAAATGCAAAATGGCACAGGCCGTGGTAGAAAACAGTGTGGCATTTCCTCAGAAAGCAGAAAACCAGAACTGCCGTAGGACCCAGCAAGTCCACTGTTGACCATGACCCGAAGAGCCCAACCACTTCCGTGCCTATCAGGGGATGCATGGCGAAACGAGGTGTGGTACATAGAATGAAATATGCCGCAGCCAGGAGGAGAAGTGAAGTCTTGATATGTGCTATGGTGCGTATGGCGGGAAATAGGCCAATCATAGAAATATAAATATTGCATGACCTCACTTCTATAAAAAAGATAAGAAAAGGCAGATGGGTCTAGTCTAATGTTTGTTAGTGGTTAGGGCAAGGGCAGTTAATAGTGAGAGAAAAGTCATGTCCGCTAAGGGACGGGTTGCACAACTGTTGATTGCAATTGTTGTCAGTGAACTGTATACCTATAAAAAGATGAATTGGCAAAAGTTGTGTGGTGGGTACATTTACAATAATGACCAAAACCCAAAAAGGATTAGCCGTGAAGCTACTTATGTGTGACCAAACATCTCACAGGACTTGGTTCCTTGGCTTGGAAGTTTAGGGTCATGGTTTCAATTAACTGGTCTAATTATGTGTTTAATGCTTCTGTCCTCCCACTTAGCCCGTTGTGCAGGGCCTGTGGTCTGAAAGCTTACCAATGGTAATCCAAGGCCTAAACCTTGGTCTCTATTCACTTGGGCCAACAGAAGAAGAAGTGTCCGGAACCAGTGGGGGATAAGGAATGGGTAACCAATTGCCCTCATGAACAACTCCCTCCTTTGCCATGAGACCAGAAGAGCTGGAGCGTGCCTGGCGACTTACCGTTACTGAACCTTTCCATCAAAAACTCCAAAGACGAATCCGGCTCCAAGAGACAGAAGTACAGAACAGACGTTCAAATTCTCATGGACCCTAGATTTCCGGAGCCACGGAACCCTGAAACGATTGCCCTGAGATCATTTTTCAACCGTAAACCTTTAAGGTGCCTTGCCTTAAAACTGAGCAGTAGTTCAGCTTCACTAGTAAACGCTGTCCACCTTGAGCACAAAGCTTTTTAAAGAAAGTGCTATATGGGATCTACCGGACACTAGCGACTCAAAAGATTAACTGGGAGCCTTAGGAGGGACAGTGAGTGTGCCACTGAGGGGGTACAACGCCACGTATGAGATCGTGGATAACAGGGGTTTGATTTAGAGAACAGAGGGGCTGTCCTAGGAATCGATTGCATGACTTGGACTTTTTAAAAAATTACTAAAATTTTTTTATGTCCTGTGCTCTCACGTACCTGATAGGCAGATTAGATGGTGTGGGCCTGCGTCTCTGTGGGTGGGGATCTTCTGAGTCTCTGCACATTGACTCACAGGGACCGATCCCCTGTGCTTGTCCTTGAACCTCTTTCTTCTTCAGGAAGGAGAAATCAGACCATTAGGTCCTAGCCTAGTCTTGTCTCCCTTCTAGTCTAGTCTCCCTTCCTACCTAGCGTATTATGAGTTAGTTACTAAGCTCACTCTCTCTTTCTTTTTTAAACGTTTTATTGTGGATTAGGTGGAGGTTTGCAGAGCGGATCATGAGCTTTGCATTCAGCAATTCATGCACATTTCATTTCAACTCATCCATTGCAGTCCCCTCCACGTACCATCGCTTAGCTCCTTTCTGCCGGTGGCTCCCATTTCCTAACCCTCTGAACTTTGTCCTGGAGGAAAGGCTGCCGCTGTCATGTTAACTGGTTGATTCGTCTGACATGGGGCGAGTTCAGTTCCCAAACTGAAGAGTGAGTAAGGGTTATAGGCTGAAGGGTCCCAACAGGCTCCTTCTGACCAGTGAGCCTGGCCTGTTTCATGGCTTTGAGGCCTTCACATCTCTCTTCCCTGCTGTCATGGGCCTTCTAAGGGGTCTCTTTCAGAGCACTTGGTCGTGGTAGCCGGGCACCATCTCGTTCTTCCCGTCTCAGGCTTGTGGAGACGGATGTTTTCAAGGTCCACCGGAGTCACTTTCCATGTGTCTTGATTTTCATGCCTTTCCTTTCCCCTGCATGGGGAGAGACCAAGGCACTTCACGACCGCCCTTGGGCTTCTCAGACCCCAGTTGCCAGTCATCGAAATAGGCTGTAGAACACTGTCTTTGCCAACTATCTTATGTCACTTGACCTTGGTGTCACCAAGACTATGGTTCTGCTCTCCCACGGACTTAGTCCCTTGAGATGTTTGGTTATGTCTAAGAAGTGCTCGTAACGTGGTCCCCTGTTTGTGGAGTTGCTTAATCTCTCAGCCTCCTTTTTCTGTTTTATAAAACAGGTTGATAATCACTTAACCTCAATGCCAGGGCTGATGTGGAGACCGTGTTTGTGTGTGTTCTTGGTGAACTGGGTACAAGCTTCTCACAGTAACATGTAGAGTAAGGTTTCCCAGCTCTGTCAATGCATTTTCTCCCAGGTGCCTCACCTACATCCCTTGGAGGTTGCTCTCTGTCTGTTTCACACTCTGGGGAGGGAAGCACAGATGTGTTTTTGGCTGGCAGTAGTGAAAGACTGAACACAAGCACACCCCTCCAAAATGCTAGGAGGAATTGATAGGGCAGAACCATATGTGTCTCACGAGGGAGTATGCCAAATGGAAGAATTTTGATCACCTGTCAGAGACGATTAGGCAATTGTCACTACCATGCCAAGACCATCCCAGGCCTCATTGTTCCCCGACAGGAACGAGACCTGGATTACTCATTCCCTGAAGGATGGTTGGTTTTGCAGACCCACCAGGTTTCAGAGTGCTGAGAAGAGCCTGCGAGCAGTGCCATGGAGGGGTGGGGTTAGGGGGGAGAGGAGGGGAAAGAGGAGAGGCGAGGGACACCTTCAGGAGGAGGGTAGAGCATACCCTGGGGAGGAGAGGAGAGATTCTGCTCAGCTGGCTTGGAGCAGCTCTGTAGCAGGCTGCCAGTGGCAAACCAGAGGTCTAGTATGGGAAACCTCTACAGAAATATGTAGGACATGTGGGAGAAGGGGAGTCTTACCGCCCATCCGGTCCCAACACTTTGTCCTCCTGAACCAGGAGAGCGGAACGTCAGCTCTCTCCATCCTCACGCTGGTCTGTAGCAGAGATGAGTGTGGATTTGGAAGGGGGGACTAATCATGGAAGCTTGGACAGCCTGCCCTGAGATGCATGTCAAATGGTTTCTAGAAGTAATAAGGGTAGAAATGAGCATTTATAGAAAACTGACCAGGCGCTCGGCACTGTTCCGCCTATTTTCTATGTATGAACTCATTTCATTTTTCACAAATTTATGACACTCATGCTATTTATGTTTTAATATTGTAAAAAATGAGGAACCGGGGCGGGGACAAAGCTTTCATAGGCTGCTCATATTTACCTGGGTGCTAAGGGGGTAGCTGGGATTTGAACCTAAAGTGTCTGACTCGGGTGGGCAAGATCTGATTCGAGTGGCCTATGGCAACATAGCAACTGGATCGAAGGGGGTCAGACAACATGGCAAGTTGCCCCACTGTGGAGAGCTCACGGGTCAGGGGGTCTAGCTTCTTCCGTTGAACACGAGGCTCTAGAGAGATGGCAAGTTCTGGATAAGACGTCTTCAGTTAACTCTGAGAGGGGAGATTGGAAGCAGAGCTCACCGAAGGCATTTTCTCCGTCGAGGTGCGCAAGGACCCAACTTGCACTGCTGTGAACCAGGAACCTTGCTGGGCTGGACAGCAGCACGTAATCAATGTTAATGGATAGTTAAGTCACTGAGACCTGGAAAGACCCGAACGCCCCAGAGACATTCAATCAGGGATGCGTTAGAAGCTTGGCATGCTCCCCACACTTGCATGTGAACACAGTGTGTTCTGGGTTCTGAACATACTGCCCCTGCCCTGCGTCTGGCGCCTTGCGTCTGTCTTCTGCACCGGGTCGTTTGGGAACGCAGATGAGCAACTAGCTTTCCCTTCTGGTTCTTTCTGTGCACCGATTCACACATCCTGTCATGTGATGGTGGCTCCCCAACTTTCCTGTCCATGTGGCACACTTCAAAAGAGCTTCCACCCAAAAAAACCTCTTCTTTTATTAAAAAAAAAACACACTTATTAGAGCCCTTCCTCTGTGTTAGAAGCTATAACTTGGGGAGTTCTGGGGTTTGCAGGGCAAAGCTCTGTATTGAAAGGAGCCAGGGAGCTCCTCCCGAGAGTCAAGCATGAGGAATTGCATCTGCTGAGCGTAAGGCGAGATTGGGCTTAGCAGTTTACAAGGATCAGACAAGAACGGAGATTTACATAGCTTTGCAATAAGGGGTTATGAAATCCTCCCAAGAAAGCATTGGGCAGCTTATGTGGGGTCCCAGTTCACGAAGTCACAAATGCTCGAAGAGAGATCGTGCCTGATTAAATGATTACCACATGAGCCAATCTTGCCGGCACAGCAATTTGAGAGCCCATCCTAGGAGCTAGGTGTGTAGTGTTTATCGTATTGTTGAGGCTCGTAAAAATCTTGTATGGCTGCAGGCAAACCAGTCCCTGAGAGACACCACATCTCTGCTGACTCCAGAGGACCAAGCCCAACCTCCACCGTGTATATATAAGGGGACGTCTCTGGGCTTGGGGTAGAGGAGTGATCTGCTCCTTTCCCCAGTCGGTCTCTACTCTGCTCCTGTGGTTCTCTAAGTCAACATGAGTCGACAGTTCAGTTCCAGGTCTGCTTACCGGAGTGGAGGAGGCTTCAGCTCTGGCTCTGCTGGCGTCCTCAGCTGCCGCCGGACAACCAGCAGCTCCACCCGCCGCAGTGGGGGAGGTGGTGGCAGATTTTCCTCCTGTGGCGGCGGTGGTGGTGGTGGAGGTGGCTTTGGAAGTCGGAGTCTTATTAACTTCGGTGGCGGTGGCGGTGGCGGTAGAAGTTTCTCTCAAAGTGTGATTAGAGGAGGTGGATGTACTGGTTTTGGCGGCGGTGGCTTCGGTGGCGGCGGCGGCGGCTTTGGTGGCGGTAGCTTTGGCGGTGGTTACGGCAGCGGCGGAGGTTTCGGTGGTGGTGGCAGTTTTGGAGGCAGAGGTGGTTTTGGTAGAGGAGGCGGTTTTGGTGGAGGTGGCTTTGGGGGTGGTGGAATGGGAGGTGGCTTTGGGGGTGCCTGTCCCCCTGGTGGTATCCAGGAAGTCACCATCAACCAAAGTCTTCTGCAACCCCTCAATGTGGAGGTCGATCCTCAGATCCAAAAAGTCAAGTCTCAAGAAAGGGAGCAGATCAAGACACTCAACAACCAATTTGCTTCCTTTATTGACAAGGTGGGTTTATGGAGGCAGTGCCTTGGAAGAGCCACTGTGGCTCATCTGAGATTGGCATAGCCCAGAAATGATGTCTGGGCTTGAATAGTCACAGAGATATTTTACAGGATGGCCTCGTAGGAGACAAGGTATGCTTACAAATGACGCTAATGACCCAGCTCTCTCTTGGAGAGGGATCACTTTGACACTTGTCTCGAAGTGCTTCCTTATTCAGCTCTTGGACTGAATTAGGACTCCACTGGGTTGAATGAAAATAATCGAAAGGGGGCTAACTGAGCATTCTGGGGTGCAAATGAGAGGCCCAAAAAGGTCTTCCTACTCATAAATGGGACTTTGATCTGAACAGAGTGTGTTGTGATCTTGCAGCAGAAAGCACACAGTAAGCATCAACTATCTTTTGCTCTCTGGGAATTTTATGTGGTTTCTGAACCAGTGTGGAGATAATTTTTGTACTTGTCGTTTCAAGCACCAATGTGCTTGAAAAGCAAACAAACTTTCTTTAATTGTGGCTGAATGGTCGATAAGGTCAACTCAGGGTTTCTCACAATAGATCTTGACTCCAACGTGGAACTTGCTGCGGTAGCTTTGAGCTGCATGCTAAGGAAATGCCAACCAAGTTTGATGCGAATACACCAGAAAGTCAAAGAGAAAGACACATTTCTTAAATATTATGTGTCTAGTTCAAGCCATAAAGATAGTGATTTATATATGCTTTGCTATTTCATATTTGTATAGCTCCTTTCTCCCAAAGTTCCAACTGAACCAGTAATGTCGTTACTGTTCTCGGGGAAATGGGAACATTTATTTCTCCTATTTCTCATTTATCATGGGCAGGGCAAACAGAGAAAGGCATAGACCTTGGTATGTGATGGCTCTTGGGTACTTAGTGGCCGTGGGAACCCCTTGGGTACCAGTGAGTACCGAAGTCTTCTCTCCTCAGGTGCGGTTCCTGGAGCAGCAGAACCAGGTACTGCAAACGAAATGGGAGCTACTGCAGCAGGTGGACACCTCCACGAAAACTCATAGCTTAGAGCCTCTGTTTGAGCAGTACATCAGCAGGCTCAGCCAGACCGTGAACAAACTGAAGAGCGACCAGTCCCGGATGGATTCGGAACTGAAGAACATGCAAGACCTGGTGGAGGACTTCCGGAATAAGTAAGGAAGCCTGGTTGGGCAGCTCTTGACTCGGGCTCTGAAATTCACTGGGCTGTCATGACGGTCCTCAAGTTAGAGGTGAATCAGGTTGGCCTTCGTGGAAATCTTTTCAAGAGACAGCAGAAGTTTCATAGTTTTATTTCTCAGAAGAAGAGGGTGGTCAAGGTGTTCTAGGATAGTTGTAAGAACGCAAGGATGGGCAAAATCACTCCGTCTAGAAAGCTTCAGAGTTTACCTCTTCTGTCCCTCCTAATCACACGGGCTTTCCCACAGGTATGAGGACGAGATCAACAAGCGGACAAACGCCGAGAATGAATTTGTGACCATCAAGAAGGTGAGGGTTCTGTAGGCTAAAGCTCACATGGAAAGAAATAAGTGCTACAAGAGGGGGTCGCAGTACGCATCAGAACAAAGTCGTGATGTGGAGAGCTCCGTCCCACCAATATCTGAAACAGAATCTTCCCCTCCTCTCCACCTTCGCCACATGCACCATATTCACGTAACCTACCTAAAACCAACGGGAAGACACGTTTCTGAAGCAGCGCTCTGCTTCTCCAGATTCCTCTGTTTCTGGTGTCATAAGCAAAGAGGCAAGCTCCCTTGGTTGCTATACCAAGGTGGTGGGGGGGGCATGATCCAGAAATGCTAAGCTGATGGCAATGAAAAGGAGTAGACCCCAAATCCTGTTTGGAAATGACCCTCACAGTGGATGACTTGTCCGGGGACGGATTTGGCTTCATTCTGTCTGTTCCTCCTCTAGGATGTGGATGCTGCTTATTTGAACAAGGCTGATCTTCAAGGCAAAGCTGGCCTTTTACAGCAGGAAATCGATTTCTTCACAACACTCTATCAACTGGTAAGTCCTTTATTTTTAGCCAAGTTTACCCACACGGAGATCTCTTACGCCTAGATCCACCACCAGGCAGGATGACAGGTACTTCTGTCTCTCGATTGAGTCCCCCTCTAAGTTTGTGTTGGAGTGCTGTGGAAGTCACTGGACTATGATGTCTTGCAGGAGTTGTCCCAGATGCAGACTCACATCAGTGAAACCAACGTCATCCTTTCCATGGATAACAACCGCAGCCTGGACCTGGATAGTCTCATCACTGAAATCCAGGCCCAGTATGAGGATATTGCCCAGAAGAGCAAAGCCGAGGCTGAGAGCGTATACCAGAGCAAGGTGAATGACCTGATCACTTCGCTGCGTTTCTCTCTTGCTATCGTGTGCTCCTTTCCATATTGGTTGCTGGAGCCGTGGGGGGCTCTGCGCACATCTGATCATCTTGATCCACCAACCTTAGTATGAAGAGCTCCAGATCACCGCTGGCAAGCATGGGGACAGTGTGAAAAGCTCAAAGATGGAGATTTCTGAGCTGAATCGACTGATCCAGAGACTTCGATCTGAAATTGACTCCGTCAAGAAGCTGGTCTGTGTGCCCTCCTACTGGGACTCATCTTGATAGAAGGGCGGGGGTGGGGCTCAGGTGATTGGAGGGTGCTGTTCCAGTTTTGAATCTTGCAATTCATTCTAAAGCTACCTTCTTACTCCCAGCTGATTTGGAGATTAGACTAGTTCCCAGCATTTCGCCATCAGGCTTGTGATGGATGGTCTATGGCCCACGAGCCCAAGCGAGACTGAAAAGGTGGCAGCGGGGAGAGCTGAGGCTAGGCATTTAGAAGAACATCAGGTCTTCAATAGTTAGAGGAGCCTTGGACCAGGGTGAAGATAGAATGATATGCCACCCCACCCCACCCTTGAATAATTTTGGAAGGAAATTGGCCCGGTGACTGCTGGGTTCTCTGCTCCCCACGTTGAAAGCAGGAGACTAAGTGACAGGTTGTCGGAAGGCCCAGGTACTCCACTGGGCTCAGTGGATTAGCCTCACTGGGATGGAGAGGTCATTTGGGGAGGACGCTGCAAAGGTAAGGTATGAGAAGATGTGATGTACTGAGTCTTCCTCTTCCAGATCTCTCAGTTACAGCAATCCATCAGCGATGCTGAGCAGCGTGGGGAGAATGCCCTCAAAGATGCCAAGGACAAGCTAAACGAGCTGGAGGACGCCCTGCAGAAAGCCAAGGAGGACCTCGCCAGGCTGCTGCGGGACTACCAGGAGCTGATGAACGTCAAGCTGGCCCTGGATCTGGAGATCGCCACCTACAGGACGCTGCTGGAAGGAGAGGAGATCAGGTGAGGCGGCAGGCTGTTCTGGGTGTGCAGGAGGGCACAGGTGGCTCAGGAGAAGAAAGGCGTGTTTTTTCACTTTGAGAGCCAGTCTTACTAGACGCCCCGAACGAACGTATTTTCCAGGGGGGTGGGGCATCTGCAGGAAGAGCTTCGGGCCGGAGCGATTTCTTCTTCGGGGCTTGGTCAGATGTCCCTTGTCTCCAGGGCAAGGCCTACTCGGAGGGGGCCCTCCCTTAGCCATGGGGTTCCCGCGATCTGTCCCCGTCTCCACCCTGGCACAAAGGATGCCCGGCTGGGTGTCCAGAGGAGACGGGGCTGGGTTTCGGAGCGAGCGGAGCGGGGCGCCCACCCTGCATGGCTTCTGCTGGGCAGGGGGGTGTGTGCTGTGAGGCTGGAGAGCGGCTGAACGTCTTCCTTCCTGCTGTTTTCAGGATGTCTGGCGAGTGCAGCCCCAACGTGAGCGTGTGTAAGTCGAGGGCCCGGTGGGCGCGGGTTCGGCCGGCTGGGGAAAGGGGACTGGGATGGAAGATAACGGAATCTTCTCCTGCAGCGGTGAGCACCAGCCACACTACCATCAGTGGAGG